CATTTCATATCTTCTACTATTCAACAGCGCTCTATGAGATAAGTTGAATAGTAGAAGATATGAAATGCAAGATTTAAATTGCCAAAAGTTAGAAAAACATTGTTAAAGTTTATTTTCATGTGTTGATTTCTGACAACTTCATATTGGAAGATTGATTGACCTCAAATCTTTCCACCATTTGATTACAAATTCAGAATCATAAAAAAAAAAAATTCTCGTAATGCGAGCCTGTTTTCTTCTTCGGTTTTGTAAGTTTCTCTGATGTATTTATTTCTTATTTTTATTTTATTTTTCCTTGCCCTGTGGTTCCCTGTAATTCGTGGTCACTGACTAAATATTTCTGATATTTCTGATATAAATTTATGATTGAACTGATTCATTTTGATGCTTTAGATTTCATCAATTTTAACATAATGCTGTAGATAAATTATTAATGAGATCAGTTTTAATTCATTTCTGACATGTAAAAGATACAATGTTTAAAAAAAATAAATGAATGGTGAAAAAATAGTAAAAAACAAAAGGAGGGGCATGTTATTTTTAATGTCAACCCGCTCCATTAAATATAATAAATAGTAGAAGTTATGACATGCAAGATTTGAATAGCAAAAGTTAGAAAAATACTGTTCAAATTTATTTTTATGAGCTGATTCCTGACAACTTCATATTTGGAAATTGATACATTGATCAAAATTCTTTCCACCATTTGATTTCACATTCAGGAAAAAATCATGATATTTTCCCAAAATAAATTATATATTAATATAATATAATAATGTAATAATTTATATAATAAGTTTAAGTGACACATTTTAGAATATGAATAAAAAAAATCTAGTTAAACAACAAATTATGATGTTACACCTAAAAATCTTTAAAAGAGTCTGAGGTGACTAGTTCCCCCAGTTTTAGGTCTCTTTTTCTTCTTTTTTTTTTCCCAAGGCTCAAAGCACAAGGAGCAGCGAGCTGAAAACCAGTTTACCCAGCTCAGATCTGACCTTTGTAACTGACGATAAAAATTCAGCAGAGCAAAGATTAGAGTCAGTGCATTTAGTAGAAATATATATTTCCAAATACTGCAAAAGCTAAACAAGTTGACATCTATAAATAAGTAAATGTGCTGTAGCCCGCAGGGCACTAAAGATGGCCAACTAGGACAATCATAAAGCATACAGTGATGTCTTAGACCTCTGAGGCCACAAATGATCTCAGAGCTCTATGATGGGCAGTATTTATATTTACAGCTCTGAGTCTATGATCTGATGACTACCTGTTCAGTACAGCCCCTGAAATCCAGCAATGTTATGAATGTTGGGGGATTGTAGGATATTCATAACGATATTGATGGTGAGATTAAACCTCATGAGGAATTTAACCGTTTAGCCAAATTGCTTCAACGACACCCACAGTTCATGAAGCTTCATGGGAACATGTCGCCACCTACTGGTGGTGTGCAGAACTACAGTTAGTAATAAAATCAGTGATTTTTTTATTTTATTTTATTTTATTTATTTATTTATTTTTTTTACATTTGTTTTTCTTGTCCCATTTAAATTCCTTTGAAATTGTTAAAGATCGGTCTGTATAAGAAAATCTTTTGGACTTTTTTTTTTCAGTGTAAAATGTCTTCGAAGAGAACAGCGACAGTGAAAGTGTTTGTACAAATTTGGCAATGATGAGCAAGATAAAAGGTGTTAGTCATTTTAATTCGAACATAATAGTTTTTTCATGGTTTTTGGTTTTAATCTGGTTGGAAGTTAGTGTTCAACCAGTCTAATTTGCCTAAACCAACCAATCTAATTTGACAGTGTTTTTAACCAATCTATATTTTTACTAGGGCAAAGCAAATTAGTCACATTAGCCAAAATACTTAAGTATATATGCAAATTTCAAAAGACTGACCTTGAACCATCAACCTTAGGAGTGGAAGTCAATGCTTTTCAGCTGACGCCTCTAATACTGGAAACTGTTCCGTGAACAATGATACTACTTAAGATTTAAATCACAACTGTATCCAGCAGCTTGCTCAGATTTTTATCATTACATTGTCTGATCTAACTAAAACATGTTTAACCAACTAGATTGGTTGGGAAAACAACCAATCTATTTTTAGAATCTATCCAAACTCTATCCAACTGAACGCAACTCTCCTACAAACTCCCACATCTTGATTGAATAGTGATGCTCTTTAATTGCCCGCTGAAGTTCTTGTGCTTTCTGAACCACTTCCTGAAGCGGTCGCGTAGTATCAGGGTAGCAAGCTTCAGACGTCATCAATGTTGGCCCCTCCCCTAAATGAAACACGCTCTGTTAAAAGGCCCCTTCCATTACTCGACACACGCCTCGAAGCCCCGGCTCATCTCATGACATCACTACATAACGGCTAACGGATTGTATTTGAGCCCCAGAAAGATTGTGATCTGTGGGCATCTGGGGGTTGTCCTTTTCATTTGAGAGTTGATAGAGTGGATTTAGCTTTTCGTTGCTATTGCCTCATGGAGAGGAACAAGAAACATAAATGGTTCCAGAAAGAGTTCAAATTTGTTCCACCAGTTCCTACTGTAAGTTATTGGTGAATAGCAAAAGTGGCCCTAACCTTACGCCTTCAAATAAAGAAAGATTTAGGTAGGTTCATGTAGGGGAAACTTTAATAACTCAACTAGTGTGTTCTGTGAAGGTCATTTTCTTTCTTTTTGTTTTTCTTTTATTTCACAATTCTTGCTGAGATGTTTTTCTTCTTTACTTTATTTTTTCCTGCAGGGGTATCCAGGAGGAGGCCAACCACCACAAGGTAACCCATATGGTGGAGGCTTTGCACCTAATGGGACACCCCCCTCAGCTCCTCCGGGAGGTGGAGCAGCCCCAGCAGGAGGCCCTTATGGGGGTTATGGAGCCCCAGGTTATGGTGGGCAATATGGGCAGGGGTCTGGTGGCCCACATGGGGGTCATGGAGGACAGCCTCATGGAGGACAGCCTTACGGCGGACAGCCCCACGGAGGACAGCCTCACGGAGGACAGCCTTACGGCGGACAGCCTCATGGAGGACAGCCTCACGGAGGACAGCCTCATGGAGGACAGCCGTATGGCGGACAGCCTCATGGAGGACAGCCGTATGGAGGACAACCTTATGGAGGGCCTAACAGATACAATGCTCCTACAGGTAACTGATGCTCATTGCTTTTTGCAGCAGTACCTCTAAAAAATAACTCTGGCTATAGGAGTTAAAAATGCCCCCTATTTGATCCACGTTTAAGACTTCAGATCGTCTCTCATCCCTCTCCTTCATGGCTTCGCTTTTGTTTTGTTTTCCCTTCACCCTGCGGTGGGATGATGAATAGAATCGACTTGCGTTCTCGGGTTGTGATGCAGAGAGGCTGCTCAGTTTGCGTCCCTCAGCAGGTCTCCACAGCTGGAGTAATGACCCCGGTAATGCTGAGAGAGAGCAAAATGGAGACGGATGGGAGTGAAAGACGTTTTGTGTGCGCGTTTCAATTGCACGGTGTTCAGGAGCATCTAAGTCAGGGTCTTAAAGTCTGGGTTTCCATCACTTCCCTGCAGGGACACACGTCAGGGCATGAGGTGTCTCCGCTCCTTCTCGTCAGTCATTTTCTTGTCGGTCAGTCGTCTCTCTACTCCTCCTCCTTCTACACTAAGCTATATTTTTGAAGTCTCCATGTATTTTCCACCGTATAATCAGAAAATGACCTCTTGCCCTGATACTGTTCTCTCTGGCTTATAATGGCTTATCCAACACTTGGAAAGATGTTTACATGGTTATTTCTTTTTTTTTTTATGGATGTGTGGAACAGGGGACATAAACGCTCTCTTTTTAAAAGTATTCACTCCTGTCAAGTCAAAGGCAAGAGGAACATAAAATATTGATGTTTTCCAAAAAATTTTTAAACTTTTAAATGGTGGAAAAGGGTTTCATAACCTCCATATAGACGCAATCCTCTTTTTTTTTCAGAATTTTTGTTATTGTTTTTCGAAAGTGTTTAGATTTTTTGAGCCTCAGTGGTTTTCTTGTTCATGTGTTTTTATGAAGGTCAAAGTTTGATTTTGAAGAGCACAATCTTCCCACACTGAAACAGGCATCTCAAGTCTCCTTTGTTTTTGTTTTTATCAAAAAAAAAATACATACTGTTCTTTGCTGACTAATGTTTTTAACCCAGAAAGGCCTTCAACAAACAGCCCGATTCATACTGGTCTTTGTTGTCTCTTATTTTCAAGTAATGTAATAAAGTATGAGGAAGAAAATGATAGATAAAATCTATTGCTACCAAGCTTATTAAGAAATGAAAGACAGTAAAACCTTGCTAAGAAATTTTTAAAACCCCTTTTTTTATTTAATTTTTTTCAGGTAACGTTCCCCCTGGTGTTAACCCAGAGGCGCACCAGTGGTTCCAGAGCGTCGACGCAGACCACAGCGGATTCATTAACTCAAAGGAGCTAAAACAAGCCTTAGTCAACTCCAACTGGTCCAATTTTAATGACGAAACTTGCCTCATGATGATCAGTAAGTCCCTGCTGCAGCAGATGAAGCGCTTTTACTGTGTTAACTGACTGTTTAACGATGTAATGTGACAGTTTCCATCTCTCACAATGACAAAAATCAGGGTTCCCGCGGGTCATTAAAAGTCATTTAATTATATATTTTTTTAACTAAGGCCTTAATTGGCATTAAAACTTATTAAATGTGATTGCAGTGGCATTTAAAATGCTTTAAAAATGGTTATAACAACGATTTCGTCAGATATATAATATCAGATATAACTTCTTACAGTTGATCGTAAAGCCATATGTTCGGGAAAAAAAGCTGGAGGCGGAGAAAAAGCCAGAGTATGGTAGACATTCCAAGTCTCCCGGAAGTTGCGAGAGACTCCCTGATATCGATAGTTGTTCACGGATGCCCGCGAGTCGGATAGATTATCCCGGGTTTTAAAATATGCGAGGTGGTGTTTTTTAATGCGAGTAAGAGCCTGCAGGCAATACAATCATTCGTGCATCATGTTCAGATTAGGACTATTTCGTTTGCGCAAACAACAAGAGAGAGGGGGGTGTGGGGGGCAGGTTGCTAAAACTGGGCGTATTTGTCCAAAGTGATGCTCTGTTCAAAGAGTGTTACAGGCAACTGGTTGTCAGAGAGCGCGCTGATTGGATTAGTCAGAAAAATAAGCCAATCATTTTTGGTTTACTCTCTCACAGTCACCTAGTTACCACTCAAAGCTGTGCATCCAGAGGTTGAATCCTTGAGTACACAACGAAAATAAAGTAAGTCCATGTCTAGAGAAGATAAAGAATGATGACACCGTAGGGAGGTGCACTATATGCTGAAGTCCCAAGAAAAATAGAAAGCATAACAGATGTTCTAGGCCGGAAGATTGAAAGTATTGAAACGTAAAGTGGCTGGAAAAAGAGGAATTCGGGACATGGCTGCAGCCTGTCGACAGTAAAGATGACGAAGGATTTCGCCGTGTTATAGTTTTTCTAAGAGCATTAAAGGAGCATTAAAAAGCATTAAATTAGAGTTACTCATTCCTGTATAAACCCTGAAAAATGTACCTATGAGATGGAAAAAAACAAACTGTGTGCAAGCTGCTGTAAAATATCTATAAACCAAGCAGAGGAGGGAAGAAGTGAAGGGATTGGGTTAAAATGGGTTTGGTTTGTTAATGACAGAATTTAGGCGAGCATTATTCAGTCTGGATTCCGGTTACATTCCAATTGCATTTGCTGGCAGGGACCTAATGTTATCTTCTGCTTTAACAAGAAAAGTGTGACCTCTGTGGATGATTGTTGCCAGCAGAAGGTCCATGGTGATGGATGAGGGGCTGGAGGGAAGCATACTTAAACATTTATACTTTTAGTTTGGAAAGAATGTGAAAATGTAACAGAAGAAAAGTTTTTAGAGGGATTCTTGTCTGATTTTTTTCTTTTTTTGGGTATTGTTTTTTCTGCCAGATATGTTTGACAAGACACGGTCGGGCCGGATAGACTTGTTTGGTTTCTCAGCACTGTGGAATTACATACAGCAGTGGAGGGCTCTGTTTCAGCAGTATGACAGGGACCACTCGGGATCCATCAGTGGCTCAGAGCTGCACCAAGGTATCCATGTTTCATTATTTTGTCTTAAAGGGGCTGCAGGTCATATTTATACAGTAGCCCTCATGTTCTTTTGTCTGCTTCTCCTTTTCCTCCAGCTCTCACTCAGATGGGATACAAACTCAGCCCCCAGTTTTCTGAGATGCTGGTGCAGCGCTTCAGCGGAAGAGGAGGGCCCCACGGCATACAGCTGGACCGCTTCATCCAGGCGTGCACGCAGCTTCAGAGCATGACGCAGGTGTTCAGGGAGAGAGACACCGGCATGACGGGCAACATTCGCCTCAGCTACGAGGACTTTCTCGCCAGTGGGGTTACGAAGCTGATGTGAGAGTGGCTTTGCTAACGAGCCCCGCTGCAACCGTGGATGTGCACCATCATTTCTCGTACTGACTGAGAGTCTCTCAGATTTCTGTGCTTTGCCAGAAGTGCCCTCACATGTTGCAGCACATACACTGTAGCAGCAGTCACGTAATGTGACGGTTGGGGGGGCTAACTTTGCACTCCTAATGAGGTTCAGCTTGTTTACTGTCCCTCCTAATGACAGAGGCTTTCAAATATTGGTGCCAATCAGATGTTCATGTCATCAAAAATCAGTTCAACCAAGCAGGCCTTCTGGATAATTAACACTTCCTGTCTACATGATACCACAACTTGATGTTTTAAGATTTCTCTTAGAATTTCGAACTGAATTTGAGTTAAAATGTCAAAACAGATGGTGAAATTATGATAATTAGATCTCTTCTTGTAATCACATGGGAAAGTTTAATGTATTAACTGAACCAGTAAAAATTTGTTTTGTTTTTCTCACTATGGTTAAGGACTGAATTAAATATTACTTTGTAAAATTGTACAGATTACTATGCATTATACTTAGAAATAATGTGGACCTTATCAGAATTGGGTGGAGAATAAGAGTTTATTGAATGAATCCTCGCTACACAGTATGGTTGGGAAAATACCTACCGGTATACTTATATTTTTTGAAATATTTGCAATCTAAATAAATATTCTTTTGCCAATTTTGTACATGGCTGACCTTCTTTATAATCTGATACTGTTTACCTCCATCACCACCATTTGTGGAACAGCTTGATTGGTGCATTTCTCCAAATTTTCAATACAGATATCTTCAAACAGTTGGTTTAAATTAAACGTTGCTATAAAGATTGAATTGGTATGTATTTTGTTTTGTTGACAAATGGCTAAAGCTAATTTTACCCTCAATTGATGCATAATCGATCGATTGAAATAACTCCAGTTTTTAACAGAGAATTTAACCAACCCCCATTTGACCCTTAAAATTTGCACCAAATCACTTAATTGTTTTTGTGTGGCCTCGGGAGAAAAAAATATTTTTCCTTATCTTTGTTCTTTTTTTTTCACCACCCATCCATTTTTCTGACATGCTTAATACCAAGTGGGGCTGGTGCCTATCTCCAGCTGTCTACGGAAAGAGGCGGGGTCCACCCTGGACAGGTCACCAGTCCATTGCAGGGCAACACACAGACAAACAGGACAAACAACCATTCATGCACACACTCACACCTAAGAAGAATCTAGAGAAGCCAATTAACCTAACAGTCCTGTTTTTGGACTGTGGGTGGAAGCCGGAGTACCCGGAGAGAACCCATGCATGTTCAGGGAGAACATGCAAACTCCATACAGAAAGACCCCGGGACCGGGAATCCAACTCAGAACCTTCTTGCTGCAAGGCAGCAGTGCTACCCACTGAGCAGCCCTTCTTCACCACCCAGTCTTCTTTAATTAAGTCCATGGAAAGAGATTCATTTTCAATTCAGTTTATCTATATAGCGCAAATTTACAACTCGTCATTTCAGGGCAATTTATAGATACATTTCAAAAAGATCATGCAGACAAACTAATTCGAAGTTTTCTATCTAAGGAAAACCAGTTGATTTCATTGGCTCAAAAGCAATCCCTCATACAAAGCATGTTTGTAGTGACAGTGGAGAGGAAAAACTCCCTTTTAACAGCAAGAAACCTCCAGTAGACCCAGGCTCAGTGTGAGCGGCCATCTGCTGAGGCCGACGGGGGTTCATAGAGACAGCAAGCAGACATAGAAAAAGAAGCAGAGATACAAAAGCTAACTGTCAACCAGCTCTACAGACGACCAGGAAACACACAGCCAGGCAGACAAGCTCAGTCTTCTCCCATATCAGAGGATAAAATAGAGCACATCCAGTTAGTCAAAGTCAGAGAAACGGGACTACACTGGAAAAACAGGCCAAGCTCCAACATCTATAAACAGGGTCGCTACTGTCTACTTGCCCTATAAAAGAACTCTGACCAGAGTTGAAGGGAGGAATAATGGAGATAAATACTGGAACAATTTGGGAATAAAGACCTGTGAGAGCGTTCAAAAGACTTCAGGACAACAATATCTGAGGCTGCAGATATTCTGGAACAGATTAGGTTAAAGGATATTCATGTATTAGAATAGCATAGCCAAAGTAAAAACCTAAATCTAACTGAGGAATTAATGCCAGACTTGAAAATAGATGTTCACAGAGTCATAAAACAGCAAAACAAAAGGGAGGTTCTGCAAAGTATTGACTTATGAGTATATATGTATGCCACACTTTTCAGATTTGAGTAAAAAATTTCCTTTAACCTGACAAATTTGAAGCAGAATTGCATGAACTTTTTTTGTGGCTTCTTTGATTCTGCAGTGATTTACTCGATCCCTGTCATTTCCCCGCGTGTAATGAGGACATTTCCATCCACTGACCACGCCTGACATCTGTAATTAACTTTTACAAATAGAGCAAGTCTACAGAGCTTCAGCGTTCACTCTGTCAGACTCAGAGCGTCATTTGGATTGATAGAAATAGCTGCGTTTTTTTTAGCAGATAAAAATATTGGCCAGTGCAGCTCTAAATCTCATTTAACGAATAAACGGACACTTATTAAATAAAGCCGCTGCTTGCCATGTTCCCTGGTAAAGCAGAACTGGCAGAGGGAATGTAAGCCTGCAGGGGAGATGAGCACATTTCTCTTTATTTGACAGCACTGATCACATGCCAGTCCTGGCAACTGTAAGATGGATAGCACAGAGGGATGAAGGGTTTAAAAAATGATTTTTAAACATAATCATCCACACAGGATTCAGCTTTATTGAAACTAATTATAACAAATCTGGACATGGTTTCATGTTTTTTTCTTTCCTCTGGAGCTTCACTACAAGGGGCCATTAAGTCAAAGCCGGCCTCCGCTCTGTGACAGTCCGCTTTCCAGCCGCTATAGATCAACCAGGTGGAGAGCTTTGTTGTTGCTAAATGGAAAAGTTTTCAGACTGGAGGCTGAATAATCAGAGTCATCAATCAGGTGGAGCTTTGCAAAGAAGGCTTCCTGATTCACAACCCGGAAACTATCACATCTCAGAGAAATGTTGTGAAATAGTTCCTCCTGTAGTGTAAACCTTGTAAATGCTTTCCTCTCTTTCATTATACAAAGAAATAAACAAAGGTTACATCTTTAAATCCGTATTTCCACACAGAAGGGAACCAAACTTGTGGTGTTTGACTTTGTGCAGTGCTGTAAAGAAACAGCTGGCCTCTTACAAATTTCCTCTGGTGTTAATTTATTTGTCTTAGTGTTACTGAGGATAGAAGAGATTTTTTAAAACCTAAGAAAATCTTATTCAGGAGTTAAAAAAAAAAAGAAGACAAAAAACAAGCATTAAAAATCCATTTGCACAACACTGTACTTTACCTTTAACAAGTCTTGTGTTTTCATCACAATGTATATTTTCATGAGGAGACATTGTTCTTTGTATCTGCTTATAAAAGCTTCTCAGCATTTAAATGCATGGAAGTTTTGTTTAAGTTCAGCCTTATCTGGGTAAAGCCTATGACTAGATTAGAATAGACTAAAAGGGAATAAAATAATTTGATTGTCTCACAGTCTGGAAATCTCATTGTTACAGCAATTAAATGAAATAGTCAGAAGATACAAGAGATAAAAGACTAATTCTAAACATTCAGCTGCAGCAGAAGAGGGCAAAGACATTGCAGAAAAGACAGAAAATGCTGCTCAGTTATTAATAGAAAATTATTTTAAAGGTTAAAATCTGAAATGTCTAAGTTTTTAAAAAAAAAGAAAGAAAGAAAAACAGCAGTTGCCTTGAAGACCTTTCCAGTATTTGATTTACCAGTTTTTCTACTTTTTTTTTTATTAGACAATTTATATATGGAAGATTTCTTTAAACTTAGTATTGGCTGTAATCATTTCTGTGAGTGGGGAAGATTGATTGTTCTTGAAATTTTACCACATCTAGATGTATCACTTAATCAGTGATCCTAAAAGATAAACCTAAAGATTCTAAATTTATATATATATATATGATTTAAATTGTTTATGTTCTTTCTCATGTTTTCCTTTAAACAGCAACCAACTTAAACCGTTGTCATAGATGAAAATAATGGATGTTTATAGGAAAATCTTATCTTTTAAAACAAGAGGAAAAAATGAATCCATCTTTTTGGAAATGTGATACTTTGATTCACTGCAAAGAAAAGGGATTTTCTTACAACCTCCCCAAAAAAAGAAATGATTTACTAGCAAATCCGAAATGCACTTCATTTAGAGGAAAAAACAGATTATCTATATAGAATTGCCTTATTCTAACCCCTTCTTTTAAGACTGTTTCTAAATCTAAATAGTTATCTCCCCCTGGTCATCAGAAGTTGACAAGGGTGCAGCTGGGTGTAACTGTTCACATTGAGATGGAAGCAAAGTTCAAGGAAATTACCTGGTCAAGCATTTTAAAAATGCCTAAGCTTAAAAGCATTATTAAGAGTTTGTTAAAAATAAATTAAATTACAATAAAATATTTAGATGTATTAATTAAATATTTATTTTCTTCAAATTTTTTATTA